TTCCACCTTTGCAGTTTCCCTTCTATTTCCATCAAAATTCTATCATTGTGACCTTTCTAATGAAGATTTTCAGTCTCTTCGCATTGTTTTTTCAACTAGCTACTAGGTATTTACTCTTATGTTTGTTTTTATATATTTTTCTTTCTTCCATGAGCTGCAAGATGTCATTGGTCATCCACTGTTGATTTCTTGCTGCAGATATTTCCTTCAGGTGGTCTTCCAATATTGTATTTGTGTAATTCAATTATCATGTCTCTAACTATGCCAAATAATATCACTTTGATGTATTTTTCGATTAACGATTTTTTTGATTTTTAGTCGACGATAATATTTGTTGTAAGAAAAAACCGAAAACACCATCATGTGCAAATGTCGAAACTTCTCCGGGATTAGAACGCGCCCCCCAACCAGCTGATCACGTAATAAAACCGGATTTGTGCGTAAAATATCAAAGTCCCCGTTATGAAAAATCATCCATTTCCGCATCGAAATCGGGTAAAAAATGTGACGCGAAAAGAATTGGAGGCGAAAAACCGATAAAAAAGATGCCCGAAGAAGAATCGATGAATCCCAGCTATTGCGACGCGAAAAAGAGCGCGAACGACAATGATTAACAATAAATAAAGTAAAAACAGAAATTTTGAAGGGGTTTTTTTAAAAATTGGAGATAATTTTTAAAACAATTCGAGTGATGACTACGAATAACACTTTTTTATACAAAATTTTATACAAAAGTTAATTAATAAATCGTGTTTGTTTAGTAGATATGTTAATTTGTATTTATTAATTTTATTTTGGTTTCGGACCGTAATCGGACCGTTTGGGAATCCCACAGACGTGAATGAAAGTGTTTAAGTTTCAATAAATGAGAAAAAAATTTTCAAAACAACAAATTTTTAATTTCCCTCTGAATAGTACAGTGCTGTCAACGGAAATGAAGTGATTTCGAAAAAGATTTTTATCGAAAAATGTTTCATATAATATTTGTTTAAAATTTAATTTTAAGTCGATTATTTTAGTAAAATTTTTCGACATATCTACCAGGTGGAGTTCTATACTCGTATAAAAATTAATATTTTTGAGGTTATCTCAATAATTGTTGGTCGTATCAAAATTTTTAATAAACAATATTTGTTTACTACTAAATAACAAACAACTTTTATTAATAACATTTTTTAAAATAACAAATTTTTAATTTCCCTCTGAATAGTACAGTGCTGTCAATGGAAATGAAGTGATTTCGAAAAAGATTTTTATCGAAAAATGTTTCATATAATATTTGTTTAAAATTTAATTTTAAATCGATTATTTTAATAAAATTTTTCGACATCTCCACCAGGTGGGGCTCTATACTCGTATAAAAATTAATATTTTTGAGGTTATCTCAATAATTATAGGTCGTAACCAAATTTTTTATGAACAATCTTTGTTTAGAATTAAATTACAAACATTTTTTGTTAAGATAATTTTTCAAAATAACAAATTTTTAATTTCCCTCTGAATAGTACAGTGCTGTCAATGGAAATGAAGTGATTTCGAAAAAGATTTTTATCGAAAAATGTTTCATATAATATTTGTTTAAAATTTAATTCTAAATCGATTATTTTAATAAAATTTTTCGACATCCCACCAGATGGGGCTCTGTACTCGTATAAAAATTAATATTTTTGAGGTTATCTCAATAATTATTGGTTGTATCAAAATTTCTTATGAACAAAGTTTGTTTAGAATTAAATTACAAACAATTTTTGTTAAGAAAGTTTTTCAAAATAACTAAATTTTAATTTCCCTCTGAATAGTACAGTGCTGTCAATGGAAATGAAGTGATTTCGAAAAAGATTTTTATCGAAAAATGTTTCATATAATATTTGTTTAGANAAATTAAAGAGATTTTGGTGAAGATTAAGAATATAATGTAAAGAAATAAGAAAAAAAAAATTTTAATAGAAAAAATTTGTTATTAATTTTTTAAAATCGTTTTTAACCAATTGCATCGTAAAGGAAATTAAAAATCCTTTAAAATGAATCCAAACTCGACATATTTACGAAAATATTGAAATTACGTCAAGAAAAACAAAATGGCGGATTTTTTGTTGAATTCTTAACCTAACATTTTATTTTTTAACCTAAATAGGTCATGTTTGGTATCAAATTAAAAGACTTTTGTTTCTTATTACGATTATTTCAATATTTATCATAAAATAATTAAATTTGATTTTGACATTTGACAGATTCTAACCTAACTTATTCGTTTTTTATACTAAATAGGTCATGTTTGGTATTAAATTAAGAGTTTTTTGATTCTTATTACGATTATTTCAACATTTATCATAAAATAATTAAATTTGTTTTTGACATTTGACAGATTCTAACCTAACTTATTCATTTTTTAACCTAAACAGGTCATGTATGGTATTAAATTAAAAACTTTTGGATTCTTATTACGGTTATTTCAACATTTATCATAAAATTATTAAATTCGATTTTTGACATTTGACAGATTATAACCTAACTTATTCATTTTTTAACCTAAACAGGTCATGTTTGGTATTAAATTAAAAACTTTTGGATTCTTATTACGGTTATTTCAACATTTATCATAAAATTATCAAATTCGATTTTTGACATTTGACAGATTATAACCTAACTACACCTAGAACTAGAAAGTATCGGCTTTAGCCGTGCGTCTGAAGACTCAAAATTAATACATTCGAAATTCATATTTTAGACAGTTAATGTTATATTTTGACGTTTGACAGCTTTGTTGATTGTTAACCTAACAAATTTTCGTTTCTAACCTATTGCATCGTAAAGGAAATTTAAAATCCCTTAAAATGAGTCCAAACTCGACCTATTTACGATAATATAAAAATTACGTCAAAATAAAACAAAATGGCGGATTTTTTGTTGATTCTTAACCTAACTTTTTTAATTTTTATCGGAAATTAGTTGTGTTTGGTATCAAATTAAAGAGATTTTGGTGAAGATTAAGAATATAATGAAAAAATAAGAAAAAAAAATTTTTAATAAAAAAATTCGTTATTAATTTTTTAAAATCGTTTTTAACCAATTGCATCGTAAAGGAAATTAAAAATCCTTTAAAATGAATCCAAACTCGACGTATTTACGAAAATATTGAAATTACGTCAAGAAAAACAAAATGGCGGGGTTTTTTGTTGAATTCCTAACCTAACATTTTATTTTTTAACATAAATAGGTCATGTTTGGTACCAAATCAAATGCTTTTTGATTCTTATTAAGATTATTTCAACATTCATCATAAAATAATTAAATTCGATTTTGACATTTGACAGATTCTAACCTAACTTTTTCATTTTTTAACCTAACTAAGCCATATTTGGTATCAAATTAAGAGCTTTTTGATTCTTATTACGATTATTTCAACATTTATCATAAAATAATTAAATTCGATTTTTGACATTTGACAGTTTCTAACCTAACTATATATAAGTANTAAAATCGTTTTTAACCAATTGCATCGTAAAGGAAATTAAAAATCCTTTAAAATGAATCCAAACTCGACATATTTACGAAAATATTGAAATTACGTCAAGAAAAACAAAATGGCGGATTTTTTATTGAATTTTTAACCTAACTTTTTCATTTTTTAATCTAAATAGGTCATGTTTGGTATCAAATCAAATGCTTTTTGACTCTTATTGCGGTTATTTCAACATTTATCATAAATTTATTAAATTCGTTTTTGACATTTGACAGATTCTAACCTAACTTTTTCATTTTTTAACCTAAATAAGCCATATTTGGTATCAAATTAAGAGCTTTTTGATTCTTATTATGATTATTTCAACATTTATCATAAAATAATTAAATTCGATTTTTGACATTTGACAGTTTCTAACCTAACTATATATAAGTATGTAATAACTAATTATACATAATATAATAGACAAATGGACAACTTCATGGTATTCTTTATTAAAAAAAACCTTTAAAATGAGTCCAAACATGATGTATTTATCTCAAAAAACAAAAAAGTTTGAATAAAAAACATCAAACCCGAAGTTAGCAACAATGAAGATACCAATTTAATTTTTAATCATTAATACCAACCTTATTTAATAACCAATTTTTGATTTTTTTAATTATATTTTTGTTTTCGTAACAAATTTTAACACATTTTATAAAAATTAAGAATATACCAAAATGACATTGACATTTCAAACCGGAAGTTGCTTATATCTCGAGCAATATTGGAATTAAACGTATCATGTTTGGACTCATTTTAAAGGATTTTTCACGACGATTACAAATATGTCAAAATTGACGTTGACATTTCTAACCGGAAGTTGACCATAACTTCGTTAATATTGAAGATAAATATGTCGTGTTTGTACTCATTTTAAAGGATTTTTAATAAAGATTACAAATATGTCAAAATTGAGGTTGACATTTCTAACCGGAAGTTGACCATAACTTCATTAATATTAGAGATAAATATGTCGTGTTTGTACTCATTTTAAAGGATTTTTAATAAAGATTACAAATATGTCAAAATTGAGGTTGACATTTTAAAAATGAAGTTAGTTATCATACAATCAAAGTTTTATAACTGAAGTTAGTCTAGTATTAGTCACTTTTCCGCCCTTTCTTTTTATTTTTAAAGTGTTTTTTGTCAATATATCTTTTGTTAAACTTATTAAACTTTTTAACTTTAATTTAGTAACTAATAAGAGATGTTAATCTATTTGTAGAGTCTCTGAAGGATGCCTCTGAATAAATTTTATAAATAAAAACTGGTTAAAAACCACAAAATTGAACTCTAGATTATTTACTCATCATTTTGACTCTAGCATTTGTGATTAAATTTATGCCACAACTTACAGAAACACCCTGTATAATCTTGTGATAGCTGTCATGAGTGTTCTGTGATAAAAATAGACAGGCAGCAAACAATTTTCGATAGTTTGAGTCTGTTTATTCTGAGAAGTCTTATATTTTTAGAGAGAAAAAAGATTTACCCGGTGATTCTCCAAGTCGGTTGGATTTCCAGCTCCATTCCCATTACTTCTTCCATTCTCGGAGGGGGCCTCGGAAGATTTCCGTTCCATGTGCCATCGTTCGGGATCCCAAGTTCCGTTGTTATCGTGAGCGGTATCCAAGTAATCGGGTCTTTTGGTTGAAAACGGCGACTGTCGAAGTTTAATAAGAACATCATAGGAATAAACGTATTTATCCGGTTTTGGATTGGCAGGTCTCATCAGGAGAATCGCCGGGTCTTGGTGAATATCCGATTCTAACATGACTTCGGTGATCAATTTTACGGATTCGAGGTCGTCGTCTCCTATTATAACAAAAAAATTAAATTGATTAAAACCTGTCGATTGCAATACGCTATTTTTATTTAATAAAATAAAGGGGAGTCAAATCACGTTGTGCGAAAACGTGCCCCAATAAACTGGTTACAATAACTTACGAAACGAAACTGTTTTAATTCTCTTCGCTTTACCATCGCTTAACGACGAGTTACGATTTTTGGGCATTTGAAGATTTTTCGGTCGCGATCCGCGTGCGATTGAAAATCAGTCACAATTTTTTTAAGAACAAGACAAAAAGTAAAGACGAAATAACTTTTTAAACGAAGATTGATTTGGTAAAAGGAAATTAGGAAAGGGATCAAAGGTACAAAACGAAAAATAGGGATAAGATTTTGAGAGTAAATTCGTCAGAGGAAAAGCGGTCCGAATGTGAAGAACGTAGTCTAACGAATGACAACGGGTTTTAGTTAGAAAGACGAGTTTTGTTGGGGCGGATTTGAGTGAATGCGTAGAATGAAAAAGGAGAGAGTGAAATGGCGAAGTGGAAGGAAATGCGTTTTTGGTGGGGTTTAAATTTAAATAATCTTAAAAATATCGTTATAACTGTCATAGTTTTGAGGTTTATGTTGGTATCACCTGAGGTTGGATAAATGGTTGAAAAGTAACTAAATAAGTGAGGTTAAAAATTTTTTAATTTTATTTTATTAATTAATTAATAATGTATCAAGATAAAACGATAATAATAAAAATATTAAAAGATAATAATGTATCTAATATTGAGTTAATTTTAACAAGTGTTACCAACTTAAAATCCATTTGGCAGACACAAAATTTACAATAATAATATGACGAATTGAAATAAAGTTTATTCAACAATATCGTACTAAATAAATAGTAATGTTTAATTTTATTGATATAAATGTATGAATTGTTTATAAATTAGATTTTTAAATCGATTTTCTTTGATTTTTGATCGATTTTTATAAGTAAAATAAATATAACTTTACCTTTGTAATTAAACGCGTTTGTAGATTTTGTTGATGATGATCCTTTCATTAAAACCGATTCTAAGTATATCTATTTTTATCTAGAGAGAGGCTATAAGAAGCGTTTTATTTATTTTCCACATTTAACTGTCATTTTATTTTTTTATGACATTTCACCTAATTTACAAAATCACTAAAATACTGTCAATCTCAAACGTCAATTTGACATCTAAAACTTTTTTATTAATAATTTTAAAGCTTAATTGATGCTTTTAATACTAATTTTGGCTTTAATTTTAGATATCTTTATCAAAGTAAAACTAGAACTAATAATAGACCTAGAATTAGAAAGTTGTGGTGAAGTTTTTAGACGTCATATAATATCTTGGACTAAGTGTACAGCAATTAAATGAGAAATCGTTCATTTTCACTCTGCCGAGGTCGCTTGCGGCCGAGGCAGTGGTTGTGTTACAATATCAACATTAAGCTAGTGTATACTATTGGTTCTAGCGCCTCGCCCGCAAGCGATCTCGGAGATATTAGATAATATTGTGCTATTAATGTGTTGGAAAATGAACCAAGTATACAGCAATTGAATGAAAAACCGTTTATCTTCACTCTGCCGAGGTCGCTTGCGGGCGAGGCAGTAGTTGTGTAATAAAACCAACATTAAGCTACTACTGTCATTTAATGTCTTGGACCAAGTGTACAGCAATTAAATGGGAAATCGTTTATCCTCACTCTGCCGAGGTCGCTTGCGGCCGAGGCAGTGGTTGTATAATAAAACTAACATTAAGCTGGTGTATACTATTGGTTCTAGCGCCTCGCCCGCAAGCGACCTCGGCGATACTAGATAATATCGTGCTATTAATGTCTTGGAAAGTGAATAAAGTATACTGCAATTGAATGAGAAGCCGTTTATCCTCACTCTGCCGAGGTCGCTTGCGGGCGAGGCAGTGGTTGTGTAATAAAACCAACATTAAGCTACTAATGTACAGGGTGGTTCAAATTCGATGTCCGAATAGGCTAACTCGGAAACTATAAGAGTTAGAAAAAAAGTAGCTTACATGTCATGATCTCGTTTTTCNTTGTGCTATTAATGTGTTGGAAAATGAACCAAGTATACAGCAATTGAATGAAAAACCGTTTATCCTCACTCTGCCGAGGTCGCTTGCGGGCGAGGCAGTGGTTGTGTAATAAAACCAACATTAAGCTACTACTGTCATTTAATGTCTTGGACCAAGGGTACAGCAATTAAATGGGAAATCGTTTATCCTCACTCTGCCGAGGTTTCTTGCGGCCGAGGCAGTCATTGTATAATAAAACCAACATTAAGCTGGTGTATACTATTGATTTTAGCGCCTCGCCCGCAAGCTACCTCGGAGATATTAGATAATATTGTGCTGCTAATGTCTTAGAAAGTGAACCAAGTATACTGCAATTGAAAGAGAAACCGTTATCCTCACTCTGCCGAGGTCGCTTGCGGGCGAGGCAGTGGTTGTGTAATAAAACCAACATTAAGCTACTACTTTCATTTAATGTCTTGGACCAAGTGTACAGCAATTAAATGAGAAATCGTCCATCCTTTGTCTGCCGAGGCAGTGGTTGTGTTACAATACCAACATTAAGCTAGTATATACAGGCTGTATATGAATGACGTGCCCAAACTTCAGGGGGTGATTCTTTAGTGAATTTTAAGGGTACTTTAATATATAAACCATAGGCGACTTCGGCTCCCCTAAGCGTTTAATTTTTTTTTTCTCAAAAACCATAAACGCTAGGAAAATGAAATTTGGAGAATATGTTTTGACCCTATTTGTACTTTCAATCTACCCTTCTAAACTACTAAACGTAATCTGATTTATCCGATCCTGATTTAACACCACTCAATTTTTTCTTTTGAGGATTTTGGGGAAAATCGCATACTTGAAGAACCACCAGAGTCACTTGGGATATGCTCCTGATGGTTCAAAATTCCATCTATGAGCGTTTGGGTGATTGCGAGGCCGAAGAAGGTTGACAATTTGAACATTTGTTATAAAAATCATTTTATTTTCCCATTTGGTAGTCAACCCCTCATAATTCTTGAAAGAATTAAGATATCGGATTTTGGTTTATGGGGTGTGTTTCTTTTTTTTACCTTTAAAATAAGGTAAAACTCTACAAGGGTTGCTATTTAAAAATGTAGGGGTGGTCATTCCCTAAAAAAACTCCACATTGCATTGAAGTTCTAAACTATCTAAAAATGTAGCTTTTATGACTCTTTAGTGATTCCCAAATTTTCAAATTTTGTTCTTCACTCGTTCAAAACTTACAGCTCCGTCCCGGGAGTTTTGGGAAACCCTGTACTATTGGTTCTAGCGCCTCGCCTCTAGCTATCTCTAAGAAAATATCGTCAAAATCATCCCTAGAAACACTCAATATCGTACTAAATAGCTAGTAATGTTGTTTTTTGTAATCGCATTGCTCCCTAACATCCCTAACAGCAATTAAGACATCCTTCAATATCATCCCCGAGATCCCTAAATATTGTTTTTAACACACTTCAAGCTCGCCATAGACATCCCTAAGAATTATGCCTGATATCTCTAAAACTATCTGTGAGAAAAATTTGTCTAAATCATCCCTAGAAACACTCAATATCGTACTAAATAGCTAGTAATGTTGTTTTTTGCAACTGCATTGCTCCCCTGCCTCCCTAACAATCCTCAAAATTGTCCGTAATATTCCTCAATATCTTTTAATATCGTCCCAGACACACCAAAACATTAATTAAGACATCCCTCAATAGCATCCCCAAGATCCCTAAATGTTGTTCCTAACACACTTCAAGCTCGCCATAGACATCCCTAAGTATCATGCCTGACATTTGTAATACTATCTCAGGGAAAATTTCATCAAAATCATCCCTAGAAACACTCAATATCGTACTTAATAGCTAGTAATGTTGTTTTTTGCAACCGCATTGCTCCCCTGCCCCCATAACAAACTTCAAAATCGTCCGTAATATTCCTCAACATCCCTTAATATCGTCCCAGACACACCCCAACATTAATTAAGACATCCCTAAGTATCATCATTATTGCTCCGAACACTTTTCAACATCTATCTAATAACTTCCAACATCGTCCCTGAAACGCTAAATATTGTTCTTAACATACCTCAACTTCACCATAGACATTCCTAAGTTACTTTTAACATTCTTTTAATACTATTTTTAATTACTCTTTAACATTAACTCAGACATCCATCAATAACTGTCCCTAGCGCTGTTTAATATTGTCTCTAATAACTTCCAATATCGTCTTTGACAAATAATCATCAACCCAAACATTCCTCAGTATCATCTCTGATATCCCTAAATCTTATTTCTGACACAATTTGACATTGTTCGCAACATCTCAACCTAAACTCCCACAGTATTATCCCTGAGATCCCTAAATATTGTGTATAACACATCTCAACTTCGCCATAGACATCTCTAAGTATCATTCCTAACATATCTAATTATTGCTCCGAATCAGCTTAGACATTTATCAATAACCGTCCCTAACATTCATTAATATTGTCTCTAATAACTTCCAACATCGCCCTTTAAACGCTTCAACCTCACCTTAAACATCCTTCAATATAATCTCTGACATCCCTAATTGTTGTTGCTGACACAACTTAACATTGTTCGCAACATCCATCTCAACCACACCTTAAACATCTCTCAGTATCATTTTTGAGATCCTTAAATATTGTTTTTAACACACCTCAGCCTTACCATAAACATTCCTGTTTATGGTGAGGTTGATTATGAATTATTATCATCAATAACTGGTCTAACATTCGTTAATGTTGTCTCTAATAACTTCCAACATCGTCCCTAACACGTAAAGATCAACCCAAACATTCCTCAGTATCATCTCTGAAATCACTAAATGTTGTTTCTGACAGACTTTAACATTGTCTGCAACATTCATTAAAGTCGTCCCTAAAACACCTCAACCTCACCTTAAGCATTTCTCAAGATATTCTCTGACATCCCTAAATGT